CTTCGAAAGATTACCAACCGACATTCTAGTGTTACTTTTCTAAGTGGGCAAACATTAAAAACAAGAAACATCACTTCGAGGACAAATCCGTAACTGGACAATATACTTATGGGCCAAGAAAAGACTCCAAACTTTCCACCAGTGACAAAAACGTCAGCCTCCGTGGAAAGGGACACCAATCAGACTAACAAGTAAAACAAGAGCCTTTGGAAACGAGCACAGAATTCACAGACACAAAGACAGGCGCTCACCCGCAGGGCGGTACACCAGCGTCCCAACCCCACCGCCCCACCAACACCACGAAAGGAAACCACGACCGTCTGTGGGGCAACACTCGAGCCTTCACACAAGTGAAAATGCTTCACAAAGGAGACGGACGGTAGGCGGCTGGGCGGCAAGACCGGATGGAGCACGAGAGCTGGGGCAGAGGGAGGGACGGCCGGTGGCGGCTCCTGTGCCCATCAGCTCCTGTGAGTGGCCACTGCTCCGACGGCCGAGACGCATTTTACACGTGGCAGAGTCACATCGCGGGACAAAAATGAGGACGAAGAGAATTCGTTCTCTGATGACGCTACCAACCGAGTTATGTTTACATTTCAAACAAAGGTTCAGAAGACCGACTGGAAAAAAGAAAAGAGTCTGGGAATTAAAGTTTGGGACAAGAAATGTTCTAGAACGCAGCACTAACAGCTGTGTCCGTGGCTAAAATTAAATACACGGATCTGATTCTTAGGTGGAAACCTAAATTACAAAGCACATCACCGAATTCCATAAACGAGGGAACCGGGGGTGGGGGCGGGGGGGGGGGGGGGCAGCCCATCGAGACACCAAGACGGACACGACCACAGAAAGGCACCTCGATGTCAAGAGCTAAAACGGTATTTTCCAAAAAGATCAAACATAGGGAAGCTTTTCTTACGATATTTGTTACTTTGACATTCAAATCTTTGCTTTAAAAACTGCTTAAATTCCCTAAATAAAATTCATCAACAGGACATAAAGATATTAGTTTTGCTACTAAATCAAGCATAGCTAAGAATACCATATTTTGGCCTAAGATTTTAGTTTTTAAAAATAATTTTAACGAATCCTATGAAAAATAGGTTTAATATTAGGCTGTCTAGAGTTCTGATTTTTTTAATTAAAAATTCAAGGTATTATCACTTAATACAATTTGTAGGCATACTAGTTCTAAATTAAGAATTTCTCAAGGTTTCATAAAATTGTCAGACAAAATGGACTTTTAAGAAAGTAAAGCTTGCCACTGTTGGGGAAGAGAAGGAATACCTCAGCATTAATACTAACTGGATACTAACTCCTTTAAAACTTGGAAATCTAGGGGTGCCTGGGTGGCTCAGTCGGTTACCTGTCCACCCGACTTCGGCTCAGGTCATGATCTCAGGGTTCACGGGTTCGTTGAAGCCCCGCGTCAAGCTCTGAGCTGTCACCTGGAGCCTCCTTCAGATTCTGCGTCTCCCTCTCTCTCTGCCCCACCCCCTCACAAATAAAATAAAACATTAAAAAAAATTAAAACTTGGAAATCTAGTGGTACTTCTACTGACTGCCTTTTTTACTCTTTAGTCCATCAAGTAGAGCTTAATTCCTATATACTTATATACTTAAATGAGCATGATATAATGCACAATATGTATCAACGAAAACAAGTAAAAAATTAAATAACACAACGCCTCTCTACACAGCTCATTTTATGTAGGGTTCATCATTACCTGAATCAGTAGACTTCCTCGGCACACAAAAAGATCTGAATCACAGAAATGTACTGAGCAAAGGGAAGTTCACTGTAATCTCGTCTCTCCCCAGCCTAAGCTCCTCTAATGAACCCCCACTGTCCCCAGGACAGGTGGCGCTCCTGTTGACAGCTTCATACCGCTCGCTTGTGTTTCAGGACAACCCGACCCGTGTCTGCAGATCAACTTCTGCACGGAGTCCTACTCCTCCTGTGCCCAGGAGAACTGGCCGAGCCCTGGGCCTTGTTCACGGAAAGTGTGGATGCAGAGTGACTGAACGAGTGACACGGCAATCCTATACTGTGTTACAAGACTACAGGGAACTTCACTTAGCTCAGATTTCTGTGATTCAGATCTTTTTTGTGTGCCAAGGAAGTCTATGATTCAAAGAGACTCCATGAGGATTCTGAAGTCAGGTTTCCTAACGCGAATGTTATATCAACAGGGGGGTGGGGGGGTGGAGAGGAGAAGGCAGGAGGCAGGAAGAGTGTCATTTTACAAAGTAAAATTCAGTTTAGCAAAAGTTAATAGGACAGCCCCCAGGGCACACCACCACCACCACTAGGAAATCTCCCAGGGGCTCTGTTAGAACACAGCAATACTATCCCCACTGATTGCAGAATTTTACTCTGGTCACAACTGGCTTATATCGCTATGCTGATCTGTTTTATGGTTTGGGACTAAGCACTAGGCAGAGGTGCGAGGCATAAAGGAGAAACTCACATGTTCACAAAACTACATTTACACAGACAGCAACCAAGTTTAGTCCAGTAGTAGAAAAGGAAAAAAAAAAAATTTATTCAAAAAAGATCTGGTGTACGTTTTAAAAAAACAGCAGATGGCCCAGAGTTGGTCTCCATTCCTAATATTTTAATGAACTTTTAAAAACATACTGCCTCTAGTATATTTCTGATTTTTTTTTTAACTTTTAAGTAATTTCTACACCCAACATGGGGTTCAAACTCACAACACTGAGATCAAGTCACACGCTCCAACGACTGGGCAAATCAGGCACCCCACCTCAAGTGTATTTTTTAAAAACAGATTCCACATCTGATTACTTTCCCTAAGGAAGATTGATTACAGAAGTAAGAGCAGGGCATTTTCAAGACCATAAGTTCACGGTAAATTCAGCTTAAGATCTAGCATTTGGGGCTTAAAGAAAGACACAATACACACTAAATAACGATAAATAACTGAGCTAAAGAAAAATCTCTCCTCTCATATCATACACATGACTAATCTGTACCCAACTATTTCCTATAGCCCATACATACTTTCCATCTCAAAAGCAGTAACAAAACAAAACTGACATGTTGCAGAAACTTTTCCAAAAAGCAATTCAACAGTACTCACTACCCTCAGCGCCCTGTAACAGTACTCATGACCCTCAGAGTACTATATATATACATTCAGTTTCAGGGTGCCCAGCCGGCACAGTCAGTGGAGCTTGTGACTCTTGATCTGGTGGTTGTAGGTCCAAGCCCCATGTTGTGTTTAGAGATTACTTAGAAATAAAATCTTTAAAAAATAAATTAATAAGTTCAATTTACATAGAAATTGTCTCCTATTATCCGCTTATAATATCCTCCAGTATTATGCACTTTGCTTCTTCTAGGAGAGGATACAATCACATTTGCACAATTGAAAAATACAAGGAGCGCCTGGGTGGCTCAGTCAGTTAAGCATCCAACTTCGGCTCAGGTCATGATCTCACGGTTTGTGGGTTCGAGCCCCGCATCGGGCTGTGTGCTGACAGCTCAGAGCCTGGAGCCCGCTTCGGATTCTGTGTCTCCCCTGCTCTCTGCCCCACCCCTGCTCATGCTCTGTCTCTCTGTCTCAAAAATAAATAGAGGGGCGCCTGGGTGGCTCAGTCGGTTAAGCGTCCGACTTCAGCCCGGGTCACGATCTCGCGGTCCGTGAGTTCGAGCCCCGCGTCGGGCCCTGGGCTGATGGCTCAGAGCCTGGAGCCTGCTTCCGATTCTGTGTCTCCCTCTCTCTCTCTGCCCCTTCCCCGTTCATGTTCTGTCTCTCTCTGTCTCAAAAATAAATAAACGTTAAAAAAAAAAATTTTTTTTTTAAATAAATAGAAACATTAAAAAAAATTTTTTTTAAGAAAAATACAAGTAGATGAAAACTGCAATTATTCTAATTTTATATTAGTAAACACATTTTTATAATAATATCAATTACATACAATATTGCTGTTTTTAACTAGCTTTTAGAACATTATGAGTCACTTAAAGGAAAAATTAGTTAATATAAGGGAATAAAACCAGTAAGAATCAGTTATAGAAACCATGCCATAATTCATAAAAAACTACAAATCAAAGAGGTTTCTAAAAAATACTCTGAATCTTAACTACTGATTGTATTTTTGAATAATCATCTGCCTATACACCTAGAACCTTCATTAAAACCTTTCTGTTAAGTGCCTTCTATAAACATGCTATCTACTTAAGTATCAAAGGTAGAGTCAAATACATCTTTTAGATATTTCCTGAAAATCAGATTTAGTCTCAACAAAACTACATCTGTTTTACACACAAACGATATTAAAATTTTATGGTCCAGTCCATTTTTCTTCGACATTGGTTTTACAAAGAACATATCTTCCTTGATTTCATGAAACCAAGAACTAACGACAACTCTAATCCAAAACTCAGATAGAACAATTTACTTAAACAGATACATTATTTAATGGACGTTATTCTTCTGGTTAGGATAAGCAAGGAAAGCACACTGCAAAGCGTGGAGTGGGAGAATGTGTGTGTTCTTTTAAAGAAAGTTGAAAGAGAAAAACCTTCATTTTAAAATATAAAACCAATAGTTCATGAAGACTTTTGAGATTTGGGTTTTTTTTTAAACAAGCAGAGTTCTCATGAGTACTCCCTAGAATCTCACACACGTGCCCACACGTACACAACTTCACACGTGTGTGCATGCACGTGTATGTGTGCACACACACACTCAAGGCCCTTTCTCACTGAACACAAGGCAATAATGAAATCAAAATGCGTACTCTTTAACATGAAAAGCATTGCATGATGATCCTAATTCAACAATTTTACAGTTAAACCAAATTAATTCCATTCTCAGAAATCCATTGGCGTGTAAGCTGTTAACAAACATTTCCCACTACAAAAACCACTGTCAGTATTTACAAACCTCGACCCTTATTTTGGTTGGAACCACCTGTATTTGCTGCATTAGTATCACCCCCTCAGACCAGGAGGAGCAGCTGCTACTCACAGGGAATCTCTGCGGCCCCACAGCAGGTCTCGGCTGGCTGGGAACTGGCAGCAAGGGCACTGTGGAAAAACACCTTTTGTTACAAACATGGTTCACTTCACAAACAAACCCACCAAAAAAGAAATACACCAAGTCTAGTATAAAACATGCATCATGCGTCAATTACATGTAACATATGAAGTTTACACTTAAACTAAGTGCTTAGTGTTTTACAAGCCCATAAAAGGGAAAGAGAAAGCAGGACGCTTGTCCCCGTACAACAGCATATGCAGAAGCTTCAATTTCAACAGGGAATTTCTATTTAGAATTAAAATGTTTTGCAATGAGAGAAGAGATTACTCCTCTAAAACAAAAAACGGCTTTTGTGTTTCACATCCATATCCAAGTTATCCAGACTATCTAATCCAATTACACTTTCTGACTCCAATCAAATACAAATTCAAATCTAAATCCTCTAGAATCATGAAAAAGAGGGAGGGAGGGAGGGAGGGAGGGAGGGAGGGGAGGGAGGCAGAGAAAGGAAAACACACATACCCATGGTACTGTTACAAAGAGCAATCTATTAAACAATCTGCTATGCCAAGATTTTGTTTGTTTTTGGTTTGTGTTTTTAAACAAGCAGAACACTCCAACAGATCTACCAGAAGAACATGAAATCACGTAATTCTCAAACAGACATTTTATAGAAGGGAAGAAGCCACGTGTTATACCCTGGGGCTAAATCAGATATGTTTACACTATTTAAAAGGTATGTTACACTGAACCTGATTTTGAAGGGGGAAAAAGAAACACCGCCCGAGCAGGGACTGCCACAGGGTAGTGTGCTGCATTTTTCATTAAAATGTGCAGCCAGATACGTCTAGTAAGCTCTCAGGCTGTCAGCTGTCATGGGCTGAGTTGTGCCCCCTCCCCAAAGGCATATGCCGAAGTCTCTGTCCTTAGTACCCCCAACGGGACCGCGTCTGGGCAAGGGGCCTTTAAAGAGGGGATTAAGTGGGGCGCCTGGGTGGCGCAGTCGGTTAAGCGTCCGGCTTCAGCCAGGTCACGATCTCGCGGTCCGGGAGTTCGAGCCCCGCGTCGGGCTCTGGGCTGATGGCTCAGAGCCTGGAGCCTGTTTCCGATTCTGTGTCTCCCTCTCTCTCTGCCCCTCCCCCGTTCATGCTCTGTCTCTCTCTGTCCCAAAAATAAATAAACGTTGAAAAAAAAATTTTTTTTTAAATAAAGAGGGGATTAAGGAAAAACGAGGTCATGTGGGTGGGCCTGGATCCGTATGACTGGTGTCCTTATAAGAGGACAGACCACAGACACACACACGGAACAACTGGCTACATGAGGACACAGAGAAAATAATGGTAGTAACAGTAACATCACATACCATATTTTTAGTTTAAGAAACGTCTGGTACACGAGAAATACACTTTTCCGATGACTTTAGAATTAGAGCGCTAAGATCAATTTTATTTACTATAAATACTCAAGAAACTCTATATATTAAGACTTATGATGAGGGTCATACTTCCACAGGTCCAATTTAAAGTAATAGTGTGGGGTCACCTGGGTGGCTCAGTCGACTAAGCGTCCGACTTCGGCTCAGGTCATGATCTCGCGGTTCATGGGTTCAAGCCCCACATCAGGCTCTGTGCTGTCGGCACGAAGCCTGGAGCCTGCTTCGGATCCTCTGTCTCCCTCTCCCTAGGCCCCTCCCCTGCTTGCTCATCTCAATCTCTCTAGAAAATAAATATATCTATATTTATATTGTGTGTGACAGAAAGAAACTTACTTCAATAAAATGCAAAATGGCTCAAGTCCTTCTGCTCCTTGAAAGCCTAATCCAATGAGTCAAAACTTCAAAATGAGAGGAGGTCAATTTGAGAGACTTTACGTAAAATAGGATGCAGCCCCCAACTCGATACGGCCTCCTACAAGGCACTGGGGGATAAATCGATTTATCTAGGGCAAAATACTAGATTATGAAATGGAGGAAGAAACAATTAGAGTATCTCTGACCTCAACAGATTGTAATGAAAGTGAAGAAGAAACTACGTATTAAACAACATAAAGACAATGGTTTTAAAATTAAGTACCAAATACAAAGTACCCACACTTTCAAGCCTATGTGCCACTTATTTTTAAACTTCGGATTTAAACATCAATTCCTATCGGATACCCAGATGCCTACAATACAGTGAAAAGATTAAAAAATTTAAGTCTCTTTAACGATCTCTGGGGAGAAATCTGATTATAATTAACAGATTCCTTACACAGAAGCCTTCTTTTTAGTCGGCCTTTTTTTTTTTTTTTTTTTTTTTTTAGTAAACGGTAAAAAGCAACAAAAAAGAAAGAAGGGAAAAAGAATAAAAGTTAACAGAGGAGCACATCTGAGAACACGTGATCAGAAACCCAGCGTGGAGAGAAGGCCTTGGTTTGCCAAGTGTCCCTCAGGAGCTCCGTGGTCCTCCGGGGCTCAAAAGCAGACAGTCACTTCCACCAGCTGCCTTCCTCTGCACCATGAGCACAAGATAACTGAGAACTTGCACTGCCAGCAGAACCCTGAACTTGGAATATTTGATATTTAACCTTTTTCTTTCTATTGACTAAACTGGTTGAGTTTTCGATTCATTACAACAGTTTTTAATAGGGTAAAGGCTGGAAAACAAGTTAAATTTCCATCAAAACTGGTTAACTATAATATGGTGGAACACCCCTCACCCTTGAGAATATGCACCATGAGGAAAAGATGTGCTTACGCTGTCACTTTCTCACGTGCCTTCCAAGGCCTAAGTCTCCGTGAACACAGGGGCTAGTCTACGTCACACGCACAGCTGACGGCCTTGCCCTCCGGGAAGAGCCGTGGTTTCTACTTAAGCTCACTGGCTCACACTGAACGGACCATTCTTCGACGGTGTTCTGCAGGTACGCCAAGCTAGCAGTCTCTGCTCTCTCCCCACGCGGGCGTATCTCAGGATCGAAGGTGCGTTCAAGAGAAGGAACGCCGGCTCTACGGCACCCAGCTTCGCGTGGAAACTCTTCGGCTGGTTCTGAGCACTGAAAAACTCCTGTCAGAAAGCTGACCTTCTATCTGCCGAATCAGGAGCCGTGCGGTGCGAGGCCTGCGCTTTCAGGCTGCTAACCGTGAGGCACGCGACTTTCCTACCTGAAGACACCTTGGGGTTTCCTTAGAGCTTCCCAGTCTGCACGTCTCACACTAGCGATTTTTATCAGGCTGAAGAGAATCTGTGCACCTTGCCAACTGCCCGGTCTGCGCTCAGCGCACACGAGGAAATACACGAAAACGGATGCGACCTCAGGAGAACCGTTCCGACAAATCAGACCGACGGCAGCTGCCTGTCTTGGGAAGCCGCTGTGGGAAGGGCTCCGTTACTGAGCCGTCCTCCCCCTTCCCACGGGCGCAGCTGCCGGAGGAGCCGCGGGCGGCGCGCTAGGCACGGGGGCCACCGCGCTTCAGGGCCTTGAGGGCGCAGAACGCGGGCGGAGGCCGCCGAGAGATCCCAATATAAGGTGGGGGCGGGCGGAGGGTCGGTTGGGGGTCAGGGACGGGCTTGGACTCTGCCTCCCTGGCGTATGAAACAAGAGCAGTCTCCCATAACGCGGACCCCACGCCCTAGGCCAGCCTGCCCCCGTCACTAACACCGACGTCGCTCCAAGGGCACAGCACAGTCTCAGACACCTCCAGGCCGCTGGCCTCCTCCCACACATCAAGTCCTATCTTGGGCTTCTTTCCCCAACTTCTGGAACTCTGGGATTCCAAGCTCAGCGTCAGCAGAACGCACGGTGGCCTCAGCCCTCCCCGCCGTCGCTCAAAGGGAAGCAGAACGCTCCCAGGGACGGGCCACCTTCCTCCCGCAGGAGGGCGGGGTCCTTCGCGGCCGTTCAGTGCTGTTTCGGAGCCCGGCGTGGGAGCTCACGTCGTCAGGGGAGTCACACGCCACGCCCGCTGCTGTCGGGCTACCGTGTCCCGGAGCTCAGCTCCCATCCCACCACGAAGGCACCGGCCCGCTCCTTCGTCTTGGCAGAGGCCGTGCTTCCTGCACCCTGCCTCTTGGGTCCCTGACTGCGGTCCCTCCACCTCACTGCGGCCACATCCAAGGCCCGGTCACGGTCAGTGACCCACTTTCCCGCAGTCCCTACGCAGCCCCTCCTGCGTCCCAGACAGCGACTCCACCTCCCTTCACTCGTTACGCGCAACGCCACCCTCTACTGCTCTGTCGACACCTCGACTCCAGTGAACGCGACACCGTGTCCACGCCACCCCACCACGCTGCGGCCTGACTCCGGGCTCACGACCGCCCAGCCTACCACTCGGCACCCCTACCTGCCACGCCCCGCACATCCACTCCTCTACTCCCCTGGAGGGGGACTCCGCGTCTCCTCTCCCCGCCTCAGACCTGCGACGTTCCCTCACCCCCACCTCGTGGCTCTTCGCTCCTTCCAGCCCGCCCACGTCAGGGAAGAGCTCCAAGACCCCCCCCCCGCTCCGCCCCCCCCCCAGCCCCACCCCCACCACGGCCCTGCCTCTGGGCACTGGGTCCTGGCCAGGGCGAGTCCCCCTCACCTGCATCGACAACTCTTCTCCTTCTTAACAAGCTGCTGGCTTTCCCATCTTAAAAGAAAACACTTTCTCTCCAGCCCGCTTCCTCCTACCAGTTACCATCCAACTTCTGTTTTAGCAAAACACCTTCAGAGGCGCCCAAGAGACGCCCTCCCCTGCCCGTGCCCCCACCTCAGCGAGGTGCGCGCGCACCTTCCCCGTCTCCCCACGGCCACCCTCTCAAGACCCCCACGGCTCCTCCGCTGAACACAGTCGCCAGCCCGCGATCCCCATCTGCCCCCCCCCACCTGCTCCGCCGGCAGGGCCCCTTCTGCCAGCCCCCATTGGCCACTCTCCTCTGAGGCTCGTCCTCCATGACCTTCGGCTCCCTCCTCCCCGCCCTCTGCAAACCCCAGGTCAGACACCCCTCCTCTGGGCCTCTCACTGGACGCAGGCTCCAATCGACCTATGGGCCCACGACATACTTGGAGCCTCGGGCCCTGGTCCGGACTCTCACTCTGGCACGGAACATTTCACACGTCCACAACAGGACTTTAGTCCTTCCCTGTCGCGGGTGATGGTCGATCCATCCCTCTGATTCTCAGACCCCCTGGGCACCATTTCTGCCTCCTTTCTCACAGCCGTGCGGTCCCTCCCCGCGTGCCACCAGCCCTGACCTGCATCACATCCGGCACGTGACTGCGCTCCACCATCATGCCGGCGCCCCGTCCGAGCCCCTGTCACCTGTGACCTGGGTTAGTGTGGCCGCCTCCTCCCCCCTCGCCACCCTGCCGCGCTCTCCCTACGGAGCAGCGACAATGGTCCTCTCGTGACAGAAAGCGGGGCCCTGTCCTCCTCTACTCAAACCCCTGGTCACAGCCCCTACTGCTCAGAGGCGAAGCCGAGGCCCTCAGAACGGCCCGGGGTCTCACATGACCGGGGCCCCGCGTGTCTTCTCTGCTGTCATCAGTCCACTTGCGGCAGGCCGTCTCTTTCGGGTTAATTCCACACACGAGGCTTGGCCTCATCCCGGATTCTCACTCGTCCCTCTGCCTGGAATAGCCTACCCTGAAACAGGGACATCCCGGGCTCCCCGACCTCCTTCAACTCAGCTCTGTGATGAAGCTACCCGCGTGACCCCAGCTAAAGCCGCAGCCCACCCCGGGCCCTGGCTCCGCTCCACCTCTGTCCTCTGCCACGCCACGTAATGTTCCTGCCGTTAGGTTTACTGCTTACTTCGTGTCCCTGTCCGCCGGAAAGCAAGATCACAGCCGCACAAAGCCTCCTCGGCTTCTCTCAGCGATAGATCTCAGATGTCAGAGACGGAGTGTGCGGAACAGATGCGTGAAGGCAGGTTCCGCGTCACCGGCTCAAAAGTAGCTTCCTAGCCTCAGGACACGTGTCCGCGACAGTAACACTCGAGGCGAGGCACTTCAAAATAACGCCTGAGGGACGCGGAGCGGGGCGCTCGCCACGCAGACGTTCCCACCGGGGAAATGATGAGAAACACCAACTCCGGCGTTCCCACAGCTACCTCTGCCGCCCCGGAAATTCAGAGGCCGCCCAGGGCTTTCCGCTAAGTCATAGAGTAAGAGGTACAGACGTTTCAGCAAATGAGTCTGGCCCGCCAAGCTGGCACGTGCCCGAGCGGGCGGGGAACGGACCCGAAGAAGCCGGCTGGTCCTCGCATACCCGCCGGCGAGAACGACTCGGCCGCGGCACCCCGCGACGTCACCAGGGCGGGGGAGACACATACCTTGCACGGGCGTCACCACCGCCCCCTTGAAGTGGGGGTTTATGTGGATGTTCTTGGGCTGCTGCGGGGTCACCGGAGGAGGGGTGATCATCAGGCGCGGGGCCTCCATCTGGGGCGGCGCATGCGCCCCCTGGGGAGCCGGGGCGTGCTGCGGGTGCTGCAGGGGCAGCAGTGGCTGCAGCGGCTGCTGCTGGAACAGGCTCCTGATGGGCTGCTGCTGGGGCGGCGGCGGCGGCGGCGGCGGCGGCGGCTGAGGCTGCGCAGGGGGGATCAATCTTGGAGAGTGCGTCTGAAAACCACCACAGAGAAGACAAATGCACAGCAATCAACGTTTGGAAGAGAAGTAGAAAAAGGCTACTGGCCTACAGATCTGCGCGGACCCCAGCGTGAGAGTCACGGCTCACAGCGCTTCCCGGCTGACGGCGTGTAGGAAGCAGCAGGGCCGCGCCGTGACGCCCGGGCCCAGGGAGGGGGCCGCTGGCGACGGGAATCCGTCCCGGGCACGCGGAGGGCGGCGGCGGCGGCCTCAAAGGGACTCTGGTGGATTCCAAAAGAACAACTTTCGGTGCAGCCACTGACGCTGCCCGGAGGCGAGCACCGCGCGGCACACAGAGCCCAAGCCGCCCTCGGACCCCGCGGCCATGCGGCCGCTGTCCCCGGAGAGTGAAGAAGAAAGTCGGGCGTGAGACACCGAGCTAGAAACGAGGGCTGTCCTCGGGGAGGACACAGGCCTAGCGAGAGCCTGACTCCCCTGCGGGGCGGGAGAGAGCTGAGAAGGTGGCACCTGCACCAGAAAGGAAGGACGGAAAGAGGGGCGCCAGGCAGGGGACTCGAGGAACAACCCGGAAGCAGCAGCGGCGCAGACACGCCTGCTGGGAAACTCGGGAGACCAGGGCGGCCGCAGCCACGCACACCCAAGACGGGGGAAGGCCGGGGTGTGAAAACAGACGCTCGAGGCAGTCAAGCATCTCGGGGTGATTCCATCCGACAGTCACGAGAGGAGGAAACCAGTGACCACGGCCGTGGCCACCAAGCGCCGGGCCGACCCCGTGTCTTCGGCGCCTACCAAAAGGTCGGTACATGAAGTAAGCGGCCGATGCCCGACGTCGCCATCAAGTGGGTCCCCGTCACTGTGCTCTTCCAAAGCAGCTGGTGAGCAGCAGAGCCGGAAGTGGGGTCCGACAAGCGGAGTCCACGCGTCCTGCCTGTGAGCACCAGGCCACCATGCCGCACACCGTGGAGGCCGCGAACTCCAGCTCCACACGCATGGCGGCACACGCCACGTGCAGGATGGGGAATTACGGATGGGGACGTGGTGGACGTGGGACGGACGTGGGATGGAGCAGATGGACCACTCAGCAGGCCACGGCCGGAGCTGAGTGCAAGAAAAGGCCAGGGTCTGATGAGCAGTAGGGAAGACACATTTCAGAGGAACGAGGAGGATTCGGAAACCAGAGCGTATATGGCCTTGGTCTCAGGGAGGACGCTTCCAGAGACATTCCAGTGCTAGCCTGGGTCCTCAGCTCTCCGCGCTCCCGGCATCCAGAAGTGCTCCCTCTCGGGCCTCACGCCGCCAGGTGCTGGGCACACCCCTGCACTGTGAGTAGGGATCCAAGCCACCAGGGAATCCCCACGAGGAGCACGCTGACAGAGGCTCATGAGTCAGATCTGAACTGAACGGAGGACGGGCACCGTGCAGGCTCCTTCTTCACTCAAGAGCGTGAAGGGGTGCGAAGGAAATGGCGTGCTCTCATCGAGTGGAGCGGGGGGGCCTGGGAGGCACCCACGTGGAGGGGCACGGGGCAGAGCCAGGAAGCGCACGGAGGGGCTCAGAGCGCGCCAGAGGCGAGGGCTTGGGAGACGCAGGTGCGCACAGCGAGGGCAGGTGGCAGGAAGGACGCCGCCGCCCAGCAAGAGCTCTGACCAGAAGGAGGGCGGACGAGAGGACAGCTGAAGGGGGGAGGAGAGAGAGCACAGCGCAAGCCTCAGGCGCTCCTCCCTGAGGAGGAGCTCGCCACGGACACCCAAGGCGCCAGGGCACAGCAGCCAGGAGGCGCAGGGGAGCAAGTGACTCTGAGAGCACAGTCAGGAAGTGAGGAGAGCGGAGTCCAGGCGGCAAGGGACCGACCTAGGAGGAGACGGACTGACACAAAGCCACGAGCAAGCCTTTGACTCATTCTTCCCACAAGAGTCCAGACAGACCGCTCTGGGGTGCAAGAGTGAGCGGGGTCAAAAGCGCTCGTGGTCGCAGGTGGGAGCGAGCTCAAGTTCATCCCTGACAGCCCTGGTCTTCCCAGTACACGGAAACTTCACCTCACTGCGACCAGGAGACGCGAGCACAGAGCTTCCAGCCCAGAGCACCATTAGGCCGAGCAGGGCCAGCCATAGGCCCGTCCCCAGCTCCCAGTGGGCTCCGGAGCTCTCCGTGGTCACGAGAGCTCTGGGGACACGACACCCCTGGCAAGGGCCCCGGTCTGTCCTCCACTCGGCTAGGGATGCGCAAGCGCTCCCAGCCCCGCTCGGTCGGCCCCTCTGAAGGACGAAGGATGCTGGCTGGGCACGCCTCCTGTCCGCGGGTGCGAAGTTACCTCTCCGGGATCACAGAGACACGGCTACACAAAAACAAACCTCCCGTGTGGCTGTTCCCCTCTCCCCCAAGGAGGCCAAAGTCACTGAATTGGCTGTTGAACACATGGCAAGTGGAGGCTGGAGCAAGGATAAGGGATGGGGAAGAAAAAGAAATCAAGTCCGGCCTTTTCGCCATTGGAGAAGCTTGAGAACAAAACAGCTGTGTGAGCAAACAGCAGTTATTAACATCGTCAGCTTCTTTATGCTGTAATCGACCCACCTACCTCTCTCCCCTTCCTGCACCTCAAAACGGAAATTCTCATGCAAAAGCAGTTAAGTTACCTCTTCTCCCTTGTTACATTTCACAAATGGATGCATGCTAACACTTAACAGTTCTACACAGAGGCAAAATGGGGCTTTCCCCTAAATTCAGATAAAAATGGAGGAGGGACATGTGGCAGACACAGTGGACACATACTTGTATTAAGCAAATTTGTCCTTGGAGATTGGCTTCTGAAGGAAAGAGCCATAAAATCCTAAAGCGAACTAAAAGAACATAAAAATCACTTTAATCCTTCTTTACCTCTGCGATATCTCCTCTTTGAAACGCACAGGAAATTCAACTTCAGCTGAAATTACAAGTATGTGAGTGTGGATAGCACAGGACACTTACTCTAAGAGAATCTGCTCCGATTTAAGGAGAAACCGATGGGAAACAGTAGCCATTTTTATAAAATGAACAGTGCTACCTGGATTCTCCATGTACAGTCACTGTTTTGAGCGCGGGCACTCAGGACAAGCAGGGAGAGGACGGAAGCCTGGCTCCCCTGGGGCTCCTGTCCTTTGAGGACATAAGCCTCTCACTGCTTCTTCCTCCGTAAGTACAGAGTGATTTCTCACTGCCCGACTGCCAGGAGGGGACGGAATTTATAAGGACACAGGTGAGAGCATACCATAAAGAAACTTTCGCCATCATTCCTCGCGTTAAACTTTAAGGTCAGACTCGGTGATACACACAAAGTATGAAACCCACAAAGGCACATTTTCATTTGTTCTAACGTGTTGGGCTATCACAATAAAACCAAGAATTACCACGCCAGGAGGCTGCGTCGGAAGCAGGGCAGGTCTGTGATCTTTTATTCTTGCTCGCTCACTGCTCTCTCTCCTCTGGTCTCCCATTCCACGACACACTAAAGAGCTTCCTCTCCTTCCTCCCCGCCTCGAGCCATAGCGTCCCTGCTTATGCTGTCGCTCTCTCTCTTCGAACTCAAGCAACGCGGCTTTGGCTTCGGCTGAAAGCTCTATTTGAAAAGATGCATACGTGTTAGAAATCTTCAAACGGCCTAAACTCGATACACAGGGAGAAAACAGGGAAGACACACGGGACAAGGAAACCCCGAGACAGCAAGGGTCTCACCCACAGCAGGGAACTAAACCAGCAGCGAGCGGGGTTCAGCGCCCGGGAGACACCCGTTAAATGAGGACATGCTTTTCCCGGGGAGGAAGACACAAGGAGCCTCCGCCAAGTTCAAGTCTTTTCGTTGGAGACCACAAAATGGTGCAGAGGGAAGCTAAAAAGAAGGGCCTGAAGTTCGGTTTAACCATTGCCCTCAAACTGCCGCGGACACTTTCTCTTTCACGGACAGCAGACAACGCTGGGGAGGACCTGGGCCCACCAGGCCCGCCCCAATACAATTTCTCAGTGAGACCCGCCCAGGTATTATGAATGCACCGTGGCACACAGGCTCAAGATAGATAAAAAATCAATCAATCAAATAAATTCCTGTTTGTTCTGATTTAAGCGGAACTATTAACGGCATCACTCGGAAATCAAATCATTAATCTCATACAGTGGAAAACTCGTTTCATATGATCATTTCAGATTTATTTAAAGAGACCTTTACTCTGTGAAAAAAGGCTTACACCCACGCTGTCTGATACGGAAGCTATAGCAAATGAGAGCAGAGCCACAGAAGAAAAAAACCCATGAATGCAAACACCCGTGGGATGCCCAGGAGACCCTCACCTCTCTGACCACTGCTTTAAGGATATAAAAACATGGACGCTGGCCCTAAGAAACTTCAGCTGGCACCTTATTCTAAATCCCTAAAGGAGAAAAGCCGACTTACTCAAATACGGTTCCTTTATTTTAGAATACTATGTAAACTGTGATATCTCACGTTAACAAATGTGTACCTTGTAAAGGTTTCACTGAATCCCAAGGGGCGTTCTTACTCACACCTTCTTCCAGAGTGAAGGACAAATTTTAAACATTACCAGCTTTAGCTCCTATCTCAGGTTCCATAATCATCTCCAAACTCTTCCAAAATCTCTTAAGCCACATTTCATTTTCTTGGTATTGTTTCTATGGTATCTTCCCCCCCTTTCAAATAAATCTAGACCCCATTCAAAAGAAAATTTAATCTCTTCTTAACAAGCACAGACTTTTATTCTCATCTTGACTACATGACTGGTTCACATACACATTTTATGCGGTGAATCAGCAATTATTTTTCTAGTGGTTCTAAGTGTCAAGATTGATTTCACTATCCCCAGTAATAAAATGGTTTCAAATGACATCTTTAATCAGCAAGTAAAAATGCTTTCCTCCAATTGAGACAAGCTGTCAGAAAAGGTCACCAAAATATGACAGGATGGAAATTACATTTGTAACTTCAACTGAAATGTTAATTTCCTCTTAAGTGTTTTCTGAACTATGTCCATATTCTAAAGTAAAGAGATAGAGTTCAATGTAACAAAGTTTTACACTGTATTGCCCTAAGATGTGCTTAGGGAAAACATCTGCGTACAAATAATTTTGTAACAGCTGGATTAATACATAACGAGTCAATATTTGCAAAATACACAGCCTATTTGGCGAAATGGAAATAAATGATAGTCTGAATTTTTTTTTACAAGAGAACTTGAACGAAGCAATTTGTAAAACCCTTGCTTGTAACACAAGGACCATCAAGTACCCTCCTGCTGGCACTATCAATCTTGGACTGTTTGTTATTAAATGAAAATACTCTTTCCCACAGATCCTCTGCCTTAAGCAAAATTAACTACGGACTTTATTTCAAGAGAGCATTATGTGGACATAAGAATGTTCTTTAGGCTAAAGCAATAAAATGTAATTTAACACATTACGTGTGCCAGCGAAACTTAGGGACTATTGCCAAATCTAGATGCCTACTCCTAGATCAACGGATAAAAGCAGGCCTAAAATAAATGTTGTCTTGCACGCACTGATGTCCTGCTTCCCAGGAGAATCTCAGGCCCACCTCGGTCAGGCCAAAGGCCTGACTGCTCTCAACCTCTGTGCTGAGGCTTTAGGAAACCAGTCACTGACACCCAATGTCCAGAGGTGGCTTCTGACATTTCCATCCAAAATTTGTCAGTCCTTTACATATGTATGTTCTAGAAACCCTGCTCAGCTGGGCTTCCCAAGTGAGTGAGGCCCTCATACCCTACAGCATGCTCTGTGTGTAACGAGTGACATCTATCTGCTAAGCACACAGCTTTGTGCCACCCTCGGGGAAACTAAGAAAAGGTTTAGTTTCCAGAATGCTGGCTGAGCTCCTTACTTAAGGTCGTAACCTACACGAAAGCCCAAACTCTACCTGAATTCCAAATCCACATCAATGACTATACACAAGGTTCTATAGCTGCCAGACTGTCATACATATGAATCCAAGTTCTTCCTCAGTTAGGGGCGGTGCTACCTGTGTGAACACGGGAAAGACTAAGGGAGACCCACACCTTGTTAGGTTCTAGTGGGCACTGGCTGTCCACATGCAGCCCAAAGGGTCAGAAACAGGGGGGCCAGAGGACGATCTCATTCTTCTTTTTAAAGAGTGGAGTGTTCTCAACATTAATCAATTATATCACAAAATAATTTTTATTTGCATTAAAAAGGCTAAAGGACACCATTTGTCAAGAAATACATATTATAGGAAACAACATCTGGACTCTGGTAGCAAGATATTTTAATTCCATTACAAGGAGTGGGTGGACAGCATTATACAGTCAAATACATGTCAGGATTTCTGCACAGAACCTGAACCTGACGTCTCTCTCGCCAGGAGCACGCAGATAAACTGATGGCTAAAACACAAATACTGTAGCAGCTTCTCTTTCTCAATCAGTATTTTCTTATGCACAAAATTAACCTTTCGTTGGAGGAGGGGGATCAAGGTAATGAGAGCTCACTGTTTTAGAAAACCAATCTTTACATGGACAGAAAAGTCCCTTTGGTTTGGGGAATAAGCCTGAGTTAGTAAAAACTCGTGTTTCAAACACTAAGCTTCCTTATGCAGGGCTCACAAGTATGGAGCATTTAAGCACCATTTTCACCTACCTTAGTACCTGGCCGAATTTGCACAAACATACTTAAGCCTTATTTGTTAACGTTTAAAAGAAATGGTTAAATGTCTACACTGTTTATGCTGACAGCCCCTCTGCCTCCAAGGACTCCAGACTCTCTCGCCGCCGTATTTCAGGTCTCCGGCTTGCCTACCACTAACCCCTTCAGGCTCCATCTGTCAGGAGGTACAAATGACCCTGAAAACAGCAAAACGAGGCAAAGGTCCTGAGACACAGGAATTAAAGCGACACAGAGAGTGAGCACGAGCAGGCCGGACACCTCCAGATGTGAGGTCAGTGCCCGGGGCAGGTACAATGCAGAGAGATGGCCCTGGCTGAGGCCGGGAGGTGGCCAGAGACATCAGGTTCAGGCAAGGATGCAACATTACCGATTCCTCCTGCTGAAGGATACACTGTGTTCTTCCCCCACCCTTCTGCTTTAAGACTTCCGCTCATCTCCTTTCACCCAAGGCCAACTTCAGACCTTCCTTCTTAGAAAATTTATGTTGTCCTGCTTCAGACAAACTGGCAACTTTATAGCCTAACTGGAGAAAAAGGCAGGGAACTCCTGGGCCAAAAGGTAGAGGAACTCAGAGGGGAAAGAAGCAGAGAACCCAAGAGTCTAGGGCAAGCTCTCCATAGAGCTCACTGAGTGAGGGAACATGGCAAGAGTGGCTCCCTCACAACTGTTAACCTGCACGCCTCGGGAGCTCAGTGTCCTCGTGCACAACTCACGTCTGCCGCTCATGGACACACGCTTGTGTTTCCAACTAAAAAATGGCTGATAATGGTTTAAGAAGAAATAAACGTAGTCACTGGGGGTTAGTTTCCCGATTTTCATTTTGACCAACACCAGGAAGCAGATGAACCCTGTCCTTCCACCCTCCCACCTGCCTCCTGGAATTCAGTACAAAATCCCAGTGGTTCTCAAATCCTGGGTTCCAGAACAGCAGGCGCAGCAGCACCTGGGAACTCAGCAGAAATGCAACTTTCTTGGACACCCCCTGAAACCTACCGCATCGCAAGAGCTGGGAGTAGGTCTAGGAATCTGTGTTTTAACAAGCCTTCTAGGTGATTCTGCTGCTCACTCAAATCTGAGAACCACTGCTTTATCTCTGCAATGGACACTGGAGAAAACAGTTGCGGGACAGGGTAGGGTCAGTGCTGATGAAGGCTCTCTGCTGGCCTGCAATGGCCTGCCGCAGACCTTAAAAAGCAGCGTTTGTTCAAAATGATTTGTTCAACTGACTACGTCTGAACGATCTTATCTCCTCAAACACGGAGAGGAGTGGCAGACGGAAAAAGAAAACACAAAAAAAGATGGTTATAATGACACTAACAGGTACAAAATACAAACTGTCTAGTCCTGAATTAGCCCTAGCAACCTCGTGGTCTCAAGAGGGGTCAAAGGGCCATCCCCACACACCTTCCCAGACCCGGCCAGGAACTGCGTAACATGCACGAGAGTGGGTCTAGGCCATCGACTCCAAAAGAAAAGCTATTAAAAAAATAAGCAATCAAATATTTTATTCAAACATTTTTAATCCAGAAAAGTCATTTTTGTAGAATGACTTTTACAGCACCGTAACTCAGCTCTAACCTCACACAGACCGTCCACTCTCTGGACGGCCATGCATAATAATCTACAAAGTCAAAAAAAAATTTTTTTTAACCTATTTAACTAATCATAATAGTACTATGGAGGAAGTTGAAATGGGAGTGAAGAAGGATGGGAGACAGGCAAAAAAAGTTACCCAAAGTTTCTGGAATGTTCCTTCTCTCTCTAGTTACATCTGAGAGCCTAATAATTGTTCCTTCTTTCCTTTCAGTTTTGAACCGCAATCGTCCAGATTCTTCATCATCATCATCTTCCTCATCGGATTCTTCTTTTACGTCCTTCTGTAGCTCCAAAGTCTCCATACCTCCCTACAATGCAGACACACAAAACAAAAACGGAGACTGAGTTCACATTCTTTTGAATTAAACACTGAAGCCTGATTTTATATATATAAGGTTCTTTATATTTCAGATGTAAAGATGCTGCAAAATGTTCTGTCACAAGGCCATGTGAAACCCTAAACCGATACGAGAAACAAATGATCTCAAACATTAAAAAACACGTTGGAAAGAGTTCAATCCTTGCTTGTAATTAACAGACAAACCCTATATATACTGTTACTTCTACTTCTGAGAGAAAACTCGCGAATTTCAAGTCCCTGCTGGCCTCAAGTCTGACCCAGACGCCAGCAAAAGTCCATGTATTCCTTAAACCAACACTGGAGCTTTAAGACTTTTGGGCACATGTCCCCCCGTGGAACTTACATTCCAGGAGAACCCACTCCTTTCCGGTCACACAGGCTCGATGCTTCCGGTAACTCCTGACCCCATCTGCCATGATTTCCAAACCTGTTGCTACGTTGCTTAGTTTTTCCAGCCTCCACCTGCTTCCCCCCTGCGCTCTCACCCTAGTGCTTCACTCCACCATCCAGGGTCTGCATCGCAGCCTCTGGCCCAGATTTTACTGCAACAACACAACTTTTTTTTTTTTTTCCAGACACAGTGAAACCAGCTTTTATCTCCTATTTTATTATGTCAGTATTCCCACAAAAATACTGCCTAATCTGGTCCCAACTGAAAGTCATTTCTTCATCAACAATTCTTCCTTTATCACAAATGTTCCTTTTATGCCACTGATCACTTTTGACCTTTTACTTGGTCTCAGTGACCTACTGGGAGAGAATAAGACAGGTACTTATTGAGTGCCAGGTTCACACAAATTCTTTTTGTAAACACAAGAAAACAGAATTTGCCCCTCGATTCTCATGATTCGTTATTTTAAACGTGCTTTACTCTTAACAGAAACAAAAATGAACTGCCTCATTAGAAAATGCGCAAGAAAAAATTTAACATGAACCCAAAAGACAACTGTTTTATATTCTCTTCCCAACATTTTCCATGAAAAAAGGTCAACTACAAATGCACGTACTCACTGCTGTGAATACTGCAAGTCTCTACACACCTTCAGGAGTACAAATGCCTGAAGATACAATGACGAATGTATGACTATATATTTTAAGCCTGATGACAGTGACGCTACCTTTCAGTACTCTGACATTTAGTATAGCACGGAATCTTAAAGCACCAAAGTCTTGGTATTTTGTCGGTTTGACATTTGGTATTATTCCCGTCTTCCTGAATATCTGAAACCAATGAGTAACACTTGCGAAGGGCCCAGCTGGGCCTGGGCAGCACTCCACTCCACTCAAGGGTAAGCTCACGGACAAAGTGCTCTTCTCCTCGTCCGTCCGTATGCTCCAGAGCAGTGCTTCTCAAGTGTCATGTCCACACCCATCACCGGGAACCCAGTTCTGATGCAGATCATGACTCCACAGGGGGGCCTGAGACTCTGAATTTCTAACATGCTCCACGTGAAGCCAACACGCTTCACAGACCATGCTTTTTGAGCAGCCAGGCCACAGAGGAGGGAAAGGAATGGCCACCAATAAAGCAAAGATTCCATTTATTACAAGAGTCATTCCTAATTCAACCATTAACAGTAATTTCAGTTTAAAGACCTTCCAACCAGTTCAATGCACAGCATGACAATACGAAGCTAATAAAGGGTATTCTGCATCAAATCTCCACCTAAGAAATCTCAAGAGAACAAGGATGACTGGACAAGTCTTTCTCTGAAGCAAATCCTAAAACCCACCAACAAATCGAGTCTATGACCCAGCATTTTGCATTCCCAGGTATTTATCCAAGAGAAATGATCATTTATGTGCATGTAGAAACCTGTAGGCAAATATTTACAGCTCTCTTTTGGGTCAGCAAAACTGGATCAACAGTAAGTGAATGGACACATAAAGCGGGTCCATTCAATGCTCCTGAGCCCTAGCAAGGAATGAGCTACTGATAGACACCTGGGGTGAGTTGGCAAAGGCGTGCGGGATGAGAGAGGCCAATCGCGATATACTGCGACAAGTCCGCTCACAGGACGTGCTCCAAGAGAAAACATTATACTGGTTGCCAGTGGTTAGAAACGGAGGGAAGGCAGGACTACAGAAGCACAGCATTAAGTTGGTTTTCTGAGCAATGGAATTTCTAGAACGCAAACTTGTGGTACAGGTGTCCAATTAAGCCGGTAACTACATCAAGGACTACACAAGCCCTGAAATGGCTTCGCCTGCCTCAACTACAGTGCATTTGACAACCTTCACTAACTGGACTCGTGCCTTCAGGCACTGGTTACTGCCTCTTACTCTAAATACTGGGCTCAAAAAAAAGAAAAGGAAAAAGCATCTCTTTTAGCCATATGATTTACAGAATTAAATAACCAATCTGCCAAAATGCTGACTTTCTGGACAGTTTTTGACAAGGACTATCTAGTATTCCATTCATAGGCAGGGTGGTGTTGGGTGACAAACAATAATCAAGTTATCTTAAAATTTTATTGTACAAGAAGTTAAATAATTGTGTATCTGTGATCTTATTAGGCTCTGCCAAAAGTACTCAGAGGTTTAATTTTAGCTACTTAATTATGATGAAAAGCTGAAAGCCATAATTGTGACTCTTAGCAGAGGGCACACATTAAAACCACTGTGAAAGCTCTTCAGAGACAGACAAGTCAGAATCTGATCACATTCCGCTGTCCCTTGAACCACACAGGTGGGAAATGCACAGGTCCACATATATGTGGATTTATTGGATGAATACAGTACTATAAACAGATCTTCCTTATGGCCCAATGCGAGGCTTGAACTCACAACCTTGAGATGAAGACCTGAGCTGAAATCAAGAGTCAGGCGTTTAACCGAATGAGCGACCCACGTGCCCCTCCTTAAGATGTTCTTAATAACATCTCTTTCCTCCAGCTTGCTTTATTATCTATTATAGCATATAATACACATAACATATAAAATAGGTGCTAATCAACTATTTCTGTTACCAGTAAGGGGCGCTTGGTAGCTAAGTTCTAGGGGATCCAAAAGTAAAAGTTATATGCAGATTTTTGGCTGAGTGGGGACGAGCACCCCTAACCCCAGCATTGTTCAAGGGTCAACTGTATACATAAACAATTAGAAAGTCGAATTCTGGCAAGACCCAGACCTGCATATTTTTTAAGCTCTCCAGCTAATTCTGAAATGAACCTGTGATCTCTCAGTGTCTTGAAAGAAAATTCAGTATTCGATCCCAAACCCAAGGGGAAAAAAACAGGCAGTTCTCTGAAACAGGGGTTGGGGGCTTGGGAGTTGGGAGGGTGGAGAAAAGTATACAGAACACTGTTTTTAAAAAACTTCCCAGAAGTTTTTAATGCTTACAGAATATTTGATAGAGAATTCTTCGTTATATCATGAAATACACATACAAATCAAATACAAATTCTAATTCTACCAACAGTGAAAATTTACAAGTTGGAAAGATGGAGCAAATTGTGCAAAAATTAAGAAAATTACAGACCAATATCCTTCATAAATAGACATAAAATTCCTTAAAACAATAAAAGCACATGGAATCCAGCAAAATATAAAAAGGAAAATACATCAGAACCAAGTGAGGTTTAGCAAGAGCCAGAAGCACAAGGCTGATTTAACATTCAAAACACTCAATTAACACATCTTGGAGATGAATTCCAAATTCCCCGCAGATAGCGCCCCTGCCCCAAGCCCTCCTCCGGAGGTGGAACTTCAGGCCTTCCCCACACCTTGACAGGCGACCACGCACCCTTAGGGACTTGCCTCCAAAGAACAGAGCAGGGCAAAGGAAAGACAGCACTTTACAGACCTGCCACCCACCATGGCAAACCTGACCCGACCACATGATCAAGGCTAACACTGCCAGGGAGGTCCTGTACCCAATGGTGTGACGGAGGAGAAGGGCATCGGACCTCTGTGATATTCTCTCCAAAATCCCTTAACTGCAGTCTAATCATGAGGAAAATACCAGACAGGCCCAGACTGCACACAGTCTACAGGATACCTGGCCAGGTCACCTCTTTAGACTGCCACAAACACAAGTCGAAAGTTGTGAAACACAAGGAAAGACTGACAAACTAACACAGACCGGAGGAGACACAACAGTGTGGTCCCCTGGACCGGATCCCGGAATGGAAAGAAGTCATTAATAATTAAAAATTTGTGTAATGGAAATAAAGTCTGGAGCATTGTTAATATAGTTTTTTTAAAAAGTCAATTTAATTCACATTAATAAATGAAAGGATAAAAGCCACAGGAGTATCTCGACAGATGCAGAAAAGCACTGACAAAATCCAACACCCATGTCTCACGTTTAAAAGAGTCTCAGCAAACTAGATACAGAAAAGAGCTTCTTCAATCTGATGAAAACAAAGCAAGCCAAACAAAGCTTCAGTGAGCTTGTATTACGTACTTCGTGTGACATCAAACACTTCCCCTGCCATCAAGAACCAGGCAACAATGAGTGGCTCCAGTATTTCCACTCTACATAGCACTAGAGGCCAGTGAAGTCAAAGACATAATAGGGCAGGTCGGAAATGAAGAATTAAAGTGTGTCAATTAATAACAACATGATTATTAAGGTATCAGTTTTCCCCCAATACCATGGAAAGATACAATGCATTCTCTACCAAAGTCCCAATCAGATTTTTAATAGGTCTTGGCAAATCAGTTACAGAATTTACACGGAAATCCAAAAGATCTAGAATAGCCGAAACAGTCTTGAAAAGGAAGACAAAACTGGTGGATTTACACTACCTGATCTCATGCTACAGTAATCAAGACAGTGGAACACCAGCAAGGGAATAAGAAAGGCTCCAGAAAGAGACACAAACTTAAATGGTCGATTAATTCCCAATACAAGCACTAAGGCAATGCAGTGGGGACAAATAATGGTGCAACAATCAGGGGCACATACAGAAAAAAGTGAGCCTCATTCACACACACACACAC